ATTCATTAATTTATTTCTTTTTACTCATTTAAATAATATTTATTCAATTTAATCAATTAATTATATTTCGATAACAAAATAATCAATATATAAAATTAAAATTTGACTCTTAAATAATCAAATCTAACTTCAAATTTACTTGTTTGATTAATTAACAAAATTAATTTAATTAAGTATTTAATGCATGAAGATTAATTTCACTCATTCATATTATCCATTAAATCTTTGTTTGTTTGGCAAGGTGTGGAAATTATAAGTCAATAAATTTATTTGTTTAGAGCGAATTTAAGAATAATAGAGTTTACCTTATCATAGAGCTATTAATTACTCAACTTGACAAAATATTGACATATGTTTATGATAAGGAAAATGATATACTCTCCCATTAAATTCTTCTACTAATCATTTTATTCGCAAGAAATTGACATATTTCACTTGTAAACTAATCATTAATAAACAAAATATCACTATTATCTATCCAGGTTCGTGAATTTTTATTCTTATATAGTGGTCTACAAGCTGCTGCTCAATCGATTAGTTATGAAATACCATTAACTTTATGTGTGTTATCAATATCTCTACGTGCGATTCATTGAGACAGAACCCTTTCGATGCTATTGATGTGCTCCTTTCTTTAGAGGAAGGGGTAGAATAAATTGCATAGATTCATTTTCGTCATTATTATTATTCGCAATTAGTATTTATTGAAGAACTAAACCTGATAGTTATATGAGTGAAACAAAACAGCTTCAAGTGAATATAGTTTATGGCTGATAATTAAAAATTGAGTCTCATTTTCGATGTATAAGAATTAAATTAAAAAAATTATAAGCGAAAAAATCCATTTACCCAAAGATTGGATGATTGCGTATCCTATTTTGAAGCGGACTGAAAAGACCAAACCTATTTATTGAGTTTTCACTACAATTTATATGAATTTGAATTATGATAATACATGTATTAAGATAAAAAAATGGGGTTGGTTAATAAAAAAAATGAGTGGATGGTTAGAAACACCAAGATCCAGAAATGATTTGTAACACAACCCATTGAGATTTTGATCTGAAAGTTTAGTTTTTTAGTAATTTGTTTTCCACCCCCTTTCATCATATAATGTAATCATAAACAACCTGGTATAAAGCTCAGGGATCTCTGATTCAGGTGCAAAAGTCACTACACCTTTCTTGTGTTGTGGGTGGTATTGGAATTCTTATTAAGCTTGTGAGATGTGGAAAAAAAAGTGATTTTTTTGGAACTTATGAGGGCGATAGATAAGGGATTGAAGGAAATGAAGTTTGGGATATATTTTTGCAACATGGTGGGCTTTGAATGTGCTCTTCAATATTTATAGCAAGCTATTCATCGCTTATCCTTACCCTTACCCTTGGCTTATTCAACTCTCTCAATTGCATGTGGTTTTCTCATGATGTTGATCTCATACGCAGCTGAGACTGATTTTGAGTTTTACAAGTCTTTGTTCCCTGTAAGATAATCACTTTTTGTTTGTTTCCTAATAATTTTTTTGATAGGAGGCAATGTTTTTGTTAAGTTCATGTGGTATATATATATATATATATATATATTTTGTAGTTTGATACTTTGATCAATAGAACTTTGATGAGGGGGAAATTCAATCCATTTAAATCATACAGATGAGTTTAGCTGAAGAAATTGAGATGTAGATTTTTTTTCATTGATGGAAACCATTAAAGTTTTGGAAGGGTAATAATTCTCTATGCCAGGGGATTCAAAATAGAGCATAAATATTTTTGGACTTTTTGCTTTATCTATTTATCCTTAACAGGGACCTTAATTTTGGTGTTTTGCCTACAGGTTGCTGTTGCACATACAATTGGGCATGTAGCTGCAACTGTTAGTATGTCAAGAGTTGCAGTATCATTCACCCATATTATCAAGAGTGGCTAGCTTGCATCCAGTGTACTGGTTTCCATATTTCTTTTCGGTTAGTCCTTCCCGATGCCATTCTATCTCTCTTTAGTTCTAAACTTCCAATCATTGGTGGATGTGCACTTGCTGCTGTAATTGAGCTCAATTTCAATATGACTGGTAAAGAAGTAGCTTCTATTTTGAAGATTATTTGGCTAACTTAATTCTGTTTCTTCTTTAGTTTGTTGTCGAGTACAGTAAGAAGTTGGAGGATAGGATGTTAAACTCACTGGTAAATAGAATTTGAGATGCAAAAGAGAATTTGATCACAAGTTATTGTGTTAAGTAATATCATAATCCCCCTCCTTTCTGTATGGCAAACTGGGTTTTCTGAACTATGTTTTTTCTTTTGCCCATTCTTGGTTGGGTTAGGCCACCAACATCAAGGATTATCTACTGTTATATACTCAGGTGTTTATGCCATTCAAGCAAGTTATATACTCACAATTTTTCTGCAAGGACTGCTTTACACCCTCCTAACTTTGATTTCACGATCTTCCGCTTTTCATGTTTCATGGGGACTATGATATCAAGTTTGGCATTTGTATTGCGTAACATCTCTTCAAAAAAGAGCATGAGGGGAAAGTTGGTCAGCATAATGAATTATTATGCTTGTTTGTCTACTTTGTCCTTGGTAATTCTCACACCATTTGCAATGGCTGTGGAGGGACCACAGATGTGGACAGCTGGATATCGAACAACCTTCTCAAATTGGACCCCAATATTTATGGTAATTACCAATGATATGCAAGCCAGGTTGGTCGGTACATCTGCTAATCGGCCTTGCAAGCGACCCTGATTCGCATAGTTAACCAGACAATTGTTTTGGCCATATTAAACTGCCAAAAATTCAGCCCAACTGGATTAAACAGGGATGACGAGGTTCACATTCCCGACCGATTCAGATTAATTAAAAAATACTAAGATGGAGAAGAATGACCACTCTTTATTAGAGACGAAGATGTTCTTCATCGGACACAAGATCCTCTAACCATAGTGAGTGGTATTTGGTTTTCGCCTAGGAAGGTACCATATTAACCCCCTTGATTATATTGCAATCTTTCTTTTAAAATATTTCTAGATACTTTTAGATGATCTTTGTGGATTTGAGATTCTTATAATGAAGTGATAGTCATTTCAATATCTATGTGATTCTTTTGGGAGGTCGTAAACTATAGACTTTATCTAGCTAACTTGGTGTACTTATACATCAGTCATTTAGTCGAGTCTCTCTGAATTTATTTCTCCATTGAAAATATAAGATAGTTAGTATGAGCCAACTTCCAAAGTCATATGTAGAATTTGCAAATTGTTAACTTGTACAGTGGCTAGGCTGATGGGTAATTTCTCCTATTTGCTTATATAATTTTATGGACGATTAATGGACATGTAATCACCTGATTCTATATACCTTTATTATGTACATATATTATGATGTTAAAATTATAGAATAAATCCTCTATGCAGCTAAACCGTGAAGCTGATAAGACCTGATTAATGTGTTTGAACTTGGTCCTCGAGAGTAGACCCCAATTTTTGTTTTGTTTTTGAGTTATCTATCATATAATCGACGTTCATTATTTGATGAAGGCATTGTTGTTTTGTTGATTGCAAACTGCCTTAGTATTTTCTTTAAGAGAAGGGGTTTGCTAGAACTGTTTTGATTTAGTAAGTTTACCGAAAGGGTAGAGTAGGCCAGTTGAGTATGTGGTTGGAAGACCGACCCTGTGACTTGGGGGAGAGGCGAACTCGATTTCTATCTCTTCCCATTGATTTGGAGTCGACATTACGTTTTTTGCGAATAAAACATAGAAAATTCTCTAATAAGCCCAATTGGGATAATTTGGTCTTTGAACAGAGATTCTGAGCTCGGGAGTCGATTACGGATCGGTGAAGTTATTAGCACCCCGTCCGCCGTTATAAAATGGTACCCTCGCTAATAACATGAAATTTTATACCCTTAAATAAATTTATTAAAAACTCAATAATTAAAAGCAAAATGTTTTTTTTATTGTTATGTCTGACAATAGTTCATCTTGCTCCTACGTATCCCTAGGTGCAATACGGAAATCAAGGTTACATAGTTCTGGTTCGAAAATTGGTAAATTGGTTTGAATTGATTTAAGAAATATTGAAATGGTTAACAAAATTGAAACTTTTTATTAAGGATATTTTAACATGCAGTTAATAGTTTAGAGATGACATTGATTGTAGAGCTTGTTCCAATTTTCAGAGAAGTTAGAGATAACACGGACCATAACCTTACTATAAAAATTCCATTTAAAATCATTTGAATAAATAATGAAATAACTTTCTAAAAATATGTGATATGAAATTAATAGTTTAGAGAGGACACTAATCGTAGACCTTGTTCTAATTTTCAGAGAAGTTAGAGACAACACGGTCCATAACCTTACTATACAAATTTCATTTAAAATCATTTGGATAAATAATGAAATAACTTTCTTAAAAATATTTGATATGGAATTAATAGTTTAGAGACGACACTGGTCGGCCATAACCTTACTATAAAAATTCCATTTAAAATCATTTGAATAAATAATGAAATAACTTTCTAAAAATATTTGATATAAAATTAATAGTTTAGAGACGACACTGGTCGTAGACATTGTTCCCATTTTCAGAGAAGTTAGAGACAACATGAGCCATAACCTTACTATAAAAATGAATAATATTTTCATTGACACAATTTTCAACCTTATAATTTGTCATAAACATAAAAGCTTAAAATCATTAATTTGAATCACGCAAGATAATCATTCACACCAATATAAAGATAGATAAAAAAGGTTAGTAAATAAAAGAAAGTATGAAATTTAATGAAACATATATTAACTTAAAATGATGTTATCCTAGTTATAAAAGATGGTAAAGAATAAATAACAAAAACAAACCAAAAAAACCAAAAAAAAAATACGTGGGCCGGAGGCCCACAAAGACATGAACCAGATTGGGATGGGAGGGGGCTTCTTTGATTTTTTCATTTGGGGTTAGAAGAGTTTGAGAGAGGAGGTGAAAAGAAGAGAGGAAAATCGGCGAGGGTGAGAAGACGAGGGCGAAGCGGCGATGGCGGAGCGTAACGGCAAGCACGGCGGCGACTCGGTATGAGCTTTCATGGTCGTTGACCCCGCTTCTCCTTCGCTTCTTCTTCGCTTCTTCTTCGATTCTTCGAAAGGGGTTTCGAATCCCTAACCCCAATCCTTTGTTTCCTCGGTCTCCGGCAATGGCGGTGATTCATAGGGATGCAATCATTGTAGTTAGAGAAACCGAAGGAGATACTCTAACTAGCGGTGATTCATAGGGATGCAATGGGAACGAAACAACTCCGGTTTGCGAAGAAAAAAGGCGAAGGGCATCGAGTTCTCACCGATACCGTGCCGGTGATGGTAGGACCCGATCATGGCTTCTCTCTTCATGACTAGCGGTGGTGGCCGATACTTTTAGCATCGTCACGACTTTGATGGTGGATGGTTTGGTGCCTTCTATTCCCTTCTCTGTTATGACCCGAAAGCGGCTTGATTTTGTGGCTCGAAATCGATAGAACCACAAGGATTCGGTAAAGAACCATACCCCATTCTAAGTTGAAATTTTATTTAAATTTGGTTGTTTGTGTTGATTGCACATTGTATATAAAATTAGATATGGCTATCAATCAATGTCGTCGTATGGGCATGGCAGGTGATGTTAAGATTACCGGAGTGGGTTTATTTCCAGAATACTATGAATATATGCAAGGGACGGTTTTGTTTTAGAGATAAAGTTGTGTTTCTTGATTCAGTTTATTGTTTATTATTATACCTTGCCTTTGTTTAGTCATGAAAGATATGCTTAAGATTATAATAGACAGATCCTAAGCATGAATAAATAATAGTTACACTACTTGCTTAGGACTGTTCATGATTGTCGTGCGAAAGATATAGTAAATAGTGAGAAAAATATGTTTACATTGTAGTTTCAGATTGAGTGTCTTTAACATTGCTGAACATGATGCTACATGAGGACTATTATGAGCCTAATGGAATACCAACCTGGATTACCTACTTACTGCAATAGTCCTGCTTAAGAGACTGCCAATTCTCGGCTAGCTGCTGGCTCTTTCCCTTTGTTGTATGCATTGTGCTTTGTGCTGGTTTCTTGTTAAGGGTATTGTATGATATGCGAATTTCTGTTTGATGCGTGTGATATGTGAGGAAATTTATGCTTTTGGTGTGCCGATGTTTGGGTATTTTTCTGGGTGAGTTGTTCTGGTTGATTTGTTGTGGTATTAGGATGTTATGAATGGTATATGAGTGATGGATGAAAGTAAAGTGAAAGTCCTTTGGATGAATACTAACGTTTATGCCAAAAATGCATGTATGTCTCTCTCTGTCTCTCTTTTTGTGATTGTCTGTGTGCTTTTCATAGCCCAATGTGGGCTTCTCTGCTGAACATGTAGAAGGCTCTTGAGTTGCCAATCAAGGATTAATTACTCTGGCTGTTAAAAATGGCTCCTCATAGTTGCTATTCAATTTTGATTATAACTGAAATGCCACATTTACACCTGTTGATTGCTCTTTTATGATTGCTTTAAAATTCTTTCACAGTTACACATGCTCATCATTGCTGATTGATCTCTAATAATTTCATTTGTAATCTTTATGCTCTAAAAGTGACAAGCAATGGTGCCTCTTGTCATATCAGTGATTGTAACATGCAGTTTTGTTTAGGAAGTATAAAAATAGATAGGGTACAAAAGCTTTAGAAATATTTGAATTTTGGAAATATGTATGTATTTGAATCAAAAGCACTCTTTTGGTGGGTTAAATAATGAATATTTATATGGTTGTTGTCTAATAATTACTAGGAAACTTTGTTGGAACAGAGATTGATATGATGAAGGAAAGGTTTGCAAAATTACTGTTTGGTGAAGACATGTCAGGATGTGGAAAAGGGGTCTGCACTGCTACGGCCATCTCAAATGCTATTACTAAGCTGTGTGGTATGCTTTCATTGTTATACACATTGATATAAGCTCATGCTCTAATTGAGAAACTCGTGAAAAGAAAGAAATGCGGTGAAGAGAGATGGAATGACTACTTTGTGTTAGTGATCATATTGTTGCACTTGATGAAGTATCTTGTAATTGAATTTCTATATGCTTGTATTGAAAGAAGGTTCTGATGAATTGGAACTAGCACAATGGAAAGATATATATATCTATGGCCATGGTCTATTGCATTCTTTGACCCGTTTTGACAGCTTTTATACAAATGCAGCACTGCTGGAATTACCGAATTGTATGCTGCCCATACTATAAATTGAGAAGTAGTTTCAGTGATGTAGCAGAGATACCATAGAATCAATAACAAATATCCTTTTACGGCAAAGTAAGGTGAGAACTCATGAGAATGCAACCATCAATTGGGATTTGAATGTCACGGGATAGAGCTGTCAAAATGGGCGGGCCTATGCGGCCCGGCCTGCCATAACCCGGAGTTTTGTAGGGCTTGGGTATCATATTTGACACTTTTTAGTGAATCCGGGCTTTTTAGCCCGACCCGGCCGGACTATATTAAAACTGGGCTCGGGCCGGGCTTACCAATGCGGGCTCGAACTACCCGTTTTTTATTTATTTTAAAACTTTTTTTTGGACATTTGGCTTGGTAATAAGCTTAAACTGAAAATTATTTTACAAAATAACTAATAATAAAAAATAGATAATAGATGATAAATATTGGGTTATGAACTTTGAATAAAAAATAGCGTAATGTCTATAACATAAATATTTATAAATTACAATAATGTTATCAAGTTAAACATTATATTTTTTTTTCTTATTTTGCTTAATATCCTTTTAAGCACATTAGCAAAATAATGTATCAAATTAAATAAGAACATTAAACCATATAAATTCCATTTTTCTTTTCCTAATTGTATATTTAATTAGATTTAACTTATACAACAAAAACATAATAAAGAAAATAACTTTTACAACGAATCACAACTTAATTGTTTACCATAGAGAATTTCACATAACCAAATTTAGCATAACAGTTCACAATGAAAATGTTGGTAAAGAATATACAAAAGATATCTATAACAAAGTAAAAAATCATTATGATGGTGGTTATAATTCGACACATAGACTTCATTCTGAATTTGAGTCTATATTATCATTACTACAAACCAAAGTATTATTTGTTAGTGTATTCATTTATTATATTGAAGTGAAGTTACAAATTATATTGTGTTAGAGGTTGAGAGTCTAATAACAATAAGATATTTAATAAATGAGTTATGTTATGAATCATATACGTAGATTTGACATCACGTCTTAACTTAAACATGACATTATATCTATAAGTTTGGTTGCATTGAGTATAACAATTGTGTTAAAAAAGTTATGCATTGATATCAAATGTTATATATATATATATATTAAATATGTTAATTTTTTTTTAATATTATGTGGGCCAGCCCGCCACAACCCGAAACCCGCTTAGGGCGGGTTTGGGTTACATTTTCATATACATAAATTATATCCGGGCTTTTTAGCCCGACCCGGTTTAGCCTGAACCCGATGCGGGCTAGCCCGAACCCGCACGGGTAGCCCGTTTTGACACATCTATCACGGAATATATAAGTTGATAGAACTCAATCTATAATGTTCATATTTGCAACTTGTATTTTTATTTGATTTCACAATTAGGCCGAACAAAATGGGGTGTTCACACCATCTAATGATGTTGTTCTATTAAGGTAATCTGATGTTCACTTAGTTTGATAAGAGCATGGACACTTGAAACCCAACAAGGTAAGGATGGTAATCATTTTTTCAACCCCACTGCGTTTGGGTTCGAGAGTTCGATAAGCAAAATTTTGCCCCCAATATGTGTAGTTGTCATTCCTAGCTAAAAAAACCTTTATGCAAAAAACATATGTAACTTTTGGAAGAACAAAAGTTGAGGTAATAGGCTTTGATGAATAATAATTAAAATGGTTTAGTTCACAAGATAATGATAAGATACATTGAAAATATAATAATGGTATTCTTAAATTTAAATTATAATTATAATTAATAAATTGAAAAAAAAGAAAATTTGGAGGGAAAAATTCGGATCGGATGATGTTATGTAGCATTGAAGTGACGTTATCACATAATAGTGATAATGTATGAATAACTACTATATATATCTGCAAAAAAAATGGGGAAGATTGTAAAATATAATAGATTTGATTTATAAATGTTAACCAAATCTTTTTAAATCTTTATTATCTTATTTTCCATTTGATATATACATTACCATAATTTGTTTAGTTTTTGCATAAGTTAACTTGCCATTTTCTTTCTTTCCTTTCCTGAGAGCTATTGAAAAGTTAATACTTGTATTGAATGATGGAACCAAAATCTTGGAAATCTCAAGGAAAACGTTTCTCTGAGAAAGAAAAATTAGCCAAGAAGCCATTAAGGTCTTCAATTAGTGTGGCTTTGAAGGGAAAGAGTTCAGAAAATACCCTACTTGGAGAGTGTTGTTTCAAAGCCTCATCTTCTAAAACTATTTATCATCCACCTCCTTCTTTTTCCAACCCCGATAATACAAAAAAGAAAGTTTTGTCCAATTGGAAGCAAATGAAGATATCAATGACAATATGGATTCGATGAGAGCGTTTGAGAATCTCATTGGATGTAAATTTCTGTCTCATACTATCTCACGACAAGAGTGCTTTGGCGGTTATTCAATTTGAGGAACACATTTCATCCTTTACCAATTTTCATGCTATCTATGATGGACAAACTAATGTAATATATTCTTAATTTATGCATATTTGTAATATTATTTCATAACTTTCATTCATCTATGAGCTAATTTGATTTGGTGAGTAAGAGAAGAAAAGTTGCTTGAAGGCTTTATTTTTTATTTTTTAGTGATTTCTTCTATGTTACTCATATTTTATTATTATTGCAAGAATTCTGAGTATTTTAATATTCATTAATGTACTTCACTCAAATTTGTTTCATTTTCATTTCTTCAGAATTTTACTTAGGAATTTAATTTGGACGATATGAATGATAGACTAATTTCATTTGGGGTATTGTAGTTTTCCAATCTTGCAAAGTGTAGAAGCTTATAATGGTAAAAGATTGTTCAAATAAGAGTTAATTCAGTCATTTTATTATATATAAGCATAAGTTTATATATAAATCCTATATAGGATTATTTTTTATCAATCAAAATATATTAATATGTCCCTCAAGTTAAAGTTTAGTAAGATTTAAGATTGTTACAAGTAATTCATTTAAAAATGAAAATAATTAAATTATATATGAGCTCCACAAAGATCGTTGGAAACGTCTTGTAAATTATAAAGTTTGCAGGTATAAATTCTACTAGAATGATTGTTGGTGAGAAGAGAAATCACTAGAATGATCATCAATGAGAAAATAAGTCATTAGTAATATAACTCGCCAATGAAAGAAAAAAAACACATCACTAAAATGAACATAAGTGGAAATATAATACAATTGTATAATTACCCATGGGAGAACACATAATAGAAAACATTATACATTACCAAAATGAGTGTGAATATTACTCTCTCTATATATATATAAATAATTAAAGGAAGAAAGTGAGTTGTTGTATGTCAGAAGTGTTTGTTTATTTGGATGAGGGAAGATTGAAAGAAAAGAAGGGTTGATGTGTAATATGAGCTTCGAATTTTCAATATTTCCATAATGGAATAACGAACGAACATGCCACAAGGATGAAATTGCTCCAATATCATGTAGAATTTAGGATAGTAAAGATTTGTTAAATTCAAGTATGTGATAGTCTAAACAATTTATTATATAAACAGATATATGATAAGATGATAAACTCAAATAACTAACATGGTAAACTTAAAATAAAGATAAACTCAAATAAAATTAAGTTTATTAAATCCTTAATAAGATTATTCTTTATCAATTTACATATATCCAACTTATCTCACTAAAATATTAAATCCACAACCAAAAACTATTTATAATCTCAACTAATTTTTCCAGGTAAAAACTACATCCCCAACTAGTGCCAACTAAACACTTAATTTCTCATATTTGAGAAACTTATTAAATAATCTTTTTATGAAAATATATCCTTGGCATTGCAAACAAATCTTTTATTTGTATAGTTAAACAAAGTAACTTAATTAAGTACTCAATGCATTGAATTCAAATAATTCACAAATAAATTCCACTAACATATATTCTACATTAAATCCTTGTATATGTCTTTCACATGACGGTATGGCAATTATAAGTCCATAAAAATATCTTATCTAAAACAAGCATGAAATCTTGTTTGGTTAAAGTGAATCTAATTAAATATAACATTCGAATTATAATTCTAAGTGATTTATATCTTATCATATCATTCTATAGCTATTAATTAGGCTTTACCTAAGAAGAACTAAACTTGTTTTTGGAATGCATTGGATAAGATTAACATATTGTATGTTATAGGCTTGTTCATGAACTAACTCGACTTACTTATAAGTCTGACTTGTTTTAAAGATCTTTTCAATACATGCATTACATGAAAAGTAATTAAAATATTATAATATATACTTTATCCGTGGAATATGATTCTTGAAGATTTGGTGGTGAATTGGTAGACATATTTGACTAAAATACTGGTGCAAAAATATTTAAGGGAACATTTGAAATTAAAATCCCTTCAATTGTTTATAACTTTGACTTTGTTCATAATGAATAAGTACCAGAAACATTTTTCTTTTAATATTCTTTAACCCACTCTTTTTTGTTTATTTATTATAGTTTAAGTGAAGATAATCAAATAAAAAGTAAGCAAGCATATCTGATTTAATGGGTCCACGTTACAAAATGTAATATTATCATTTGTATATATATACAAATGATAAACTAATTTATAATTTTAAAAGAAAGTTTTTAGGCTCAAATATATTTGCATAACTTTGTTAACATGTTGCCCAACTTAAAAAAAATAGTCCCAAAACTTTTTTAATCCAATATATGTGATTTTTTTTGTTAAACTCAAATAGGAATAAATTAAATCAATTTATCATGTAAGTAAGAATTATTATAATTCATAATATAATAACAAATCAAACATGTCTCATATTTGTGGTTTCTTCCTTGTCTAAAGACTAACATGTCTACTTTAGATGTCATATTCGTTGATAAATATCACAATTGTGATTCTTGAATGTAGGTATGTCTAAAATGTAATCATGTAATGAATCTGGAAGCATAGATGAATTCAATTGTGATAAGTTGAATTACTCTGTTCATTAGCATGCTTTAACTTAACTACTAAATTCAAAATTTGAAACCATACTTTTAGAATTTGTAGAACCACATAGTTTCATATCATAATGCAAGTTCAAAGATAGTTCAAGATGGACATAAGGAAAATATTTCATAAAATGAGTCAATAACAATAACTATATCTTTCAAGAAATAAAAGCCAAATCTTCTTCTTAGAGGTGAAGGGGTAAAGTTCAAGTACTCATAACTTATTAGTATACTTGTGACAATACATGCAATTAATAACAGTGCAGAGGTAAAGTTCAATGTAGCAGATACCACTTATAACTAAATCAACTACAAATGGAAAAAACATAAATTGAAAATGCAATGTGTCAAGAGTCATAATGTAATACCTTGGAATTGCACAAAGTGCAGAACAGAGCATCTTCACCACAACATGAGCAGTACACTGGCATAAAGAGTGAAAACAACAAAGAAGGTATGATACATATATAAATATTCAGTTGATAACCTAGAGAAGAATTAAGCAAGAATTAAGAATGGTTTGGGATCTAATAAAACATGAGATGATGATGAGTTACAAGAATAAAGCAAGAAAGACACATCAAGAAAGGGAATATGGAGACACTTTCAAATTACTCAACTTCAACACTAATTTACATGTATTAGGACAAGAATTACTCTCTAGGCTGGGCTGCCTGCCCTGGCCTAGGCTTGGATGGTCTGGGCTGCCTAGCGAGCTGGCCTGCCTAACCTTCCTTTATTGACCTGCCCTGCCTATGGTAGTCAAAATCATGATTTTACTTGGAATTTGAAGAGTAGTCAAAAATCGTAAATGTAGGATCGTAACACGACTCATAAGATTCTACTTGTCAGTAAATAAATGCAAATAAATTCTTATATGTATAAAATAGTAGACATAAATCCAAATTAAAACTTAATTTGCTAACATTAGTAAAGAGAATAAACTAACATTAGTAAAGAGAATAAACAGAATAAACTAACATTAAAAAGATATAAAATAACATTGGACAAAGATATAAACTAACATTAATATAAACAGAATAAAATAAAATTGGACATTAATATAAACTAACACTGGAAAATCATAATAAAAAAACAGAATAAACTAAAATTGGAAAAAGTAAACTAAAAAACAGAATAAAAAAAGTAAAGTAAAAAAAAACTAAAATTGGAAAAAAGTAATGTAAAATAGAAAATAAAAATAAAAATAAAGAAAAGGTAAATAGTGGAGGTGACCGAAAGAAGAAAATAAAAGAAAATAAAAGAAGAAAGAAGAAAGAGAAAGAAGAAAGAAGAAAAGGAGAAAGAGAAAGAAGAAAAGAAGAAGGAAGAATAGAAGAAAATAAGGAAAGGAGAAAGGAGAAAGAGAAGAAAAACGGTGAAGATGAAGACATACCTTAAGATGAAGATGATGTTTCCAGATGAAGAAGGAGATTTCCAGATGAAGAAGGAGATTTCACGATTTTACTTTTATTTTTTCCTTCTTCTACACTTTCATTCTCAAATGGGCTGGGGTTTTAGGGTTTTTTCAATCGGGTCGCAAAGCGGGTCAAAAACGGGTTTCAGCCCAAACACTGGATCTGTAAAACTAGGGACAGCGGAATCGCCGATTCCACCGATTTTACGATTTGACACGACAGTTTTACGATTTGGCTTCGTTTGTAGCACGTTACTGGGATCGAACACGAGTGGCCGCCGGAAGACGTAAGAACGTCCGATTTCACGTGCCGGCGCGCGATTTTGACTACCATGGCCCTGCTTGGGCTGGTCTGGCCTGCCCTGCACTCCCCTTGCCTGGTTGGCATGGCCTACCCTGACCTGACCTCCCCTCCGCTGGCCGACCTTTACTAGTCGGGCCTGCATGGCTTTTTCAAGCCTGGGTTGCCTGACCTGACTGTCTGGGCTGGCCTAGCCTGCCTTTGCTAGCCTTACCTGAACTACCCCACCTGGTCTAGTCTGCCTAGCTTGTCTAGCCTGGCCTGCTTGGCTAGGGTTGGCCTTGGCTAGTCTGCCTAGCGTGCCCTTGCCAGCCTGAACTAGCCTGAACTACACTCCCCTTACCTGGTTGGGAAAGTCTGCTCTCCCCTCCTATATGATGTATGCTTATGCAATGAATGATTTTGAAAATCAATATCATTTTAATGCAACATAATCAAATATGAATAGATGATATGACTCATTTTAGATAAAGTCAATTTTAGGCTTTTGAGAGAAAGTTTACCTAACCTAGATTCAACTAAGCAATCATCTTAAGACTTCTAAATAATAGAAAATGATATTTCCTAAGTCTAAGACAACCTTGAATCTTGGTACGTTGTTTGTAGACTTGCCTTTGACTTCAAGTTTTTCCTTAGTGTTTTTGTCTTCATCAAAACCAAATAAGAAGATCTCCTTCAGAACCATGCACTTTGACTCCTCTTGCAATTTCAAGTTTAGCAATACATTTTCATGATAACTTGAAACAAAGATAAGAAAAGAGAAATACAACTCATAACAGAAGAAATTACCTTCTCAATGAACATATATCAACTCCTCTAACATTTCCCTCTTACTCTTAGGAAAGATTCAAAATAGAAATATCTCGGGAAATGTATAAGGGTGGTTATAGCGAACATCCAATTGTCCGGCTTAAAAAGAAACACACTTCTTTAGTTAAATGAAATTTTGATAAAAAAATATTTTATGATACAAATTGAATCTTTTGAGATCTACTTTCCTAAAAATGTGATGAAAAAATAATTCAAAGATTGCGAGCTGAAAATATGCATATAAAATCAAATTAGAAATTTTCATATCAATTTGATTGTGTAGCACAAATCATTTCGATTAGAAAATTTAACCTTTAGAAATTTGATTTCATAGAAGATTGGTCAACAAATAAATAAATGTTGCAATTTGAAAATAAGCAAATCAAATAAAATCAAATAAAGTTGATGTCAATTTGATTGAGTTGCATTTTTAAAATACAATAATAATTGCAAGAAGAATAAGTTAAGAATATCAAATGAAATTTTTTCTCTTTTTAGCTCATATTTTCGTTTTTTAATGAAAATAAAAAGGGATTTTTAGTGAGTTAATGGTCACTTATTAGCCTTTTAAGGGAAGAAAATCAAATTTAAAAAATCACATGTCAAAATTTCTCATATTGAAAGTGAGAATTTGAGATTTATTGCATAATTATAAGTTAGTTTTTTGTTTTTGAAACAAGTGTTCAATTACATTAAAAAAATCTCCACACCACCTAATTCCTAAAAAGAAAACAAAGATAAAATGAACCAGGATAAAAGAGATTTGATATAATGATAGATGTGATTTCCTCTCCTTTTCCAGATTAATTCCTAGCTAAAGTTTAGGAAAAAATTAATTTTTCATTGATTCTAAAAAAATATGTGTGACACCGTAAATAATGCACATTTTCTAATGAAAAGAAAAAGTATTTACACATTGAAAATACAAAAAAAAAAAAAAAAAGACACTGAAAGGGTAACTGAAAACCTCAAACAGAAACCCACCGTGAAAAGAAGAAAAAGTGCAGGCGCTCTGATCCAATGTAGGAGAGTCATCATCGCTTCCGTGGACTCATATAATTAGTGAATCACAACCGTCGATTCCGAATACTGCTTTCACATTAGCATTGACTCGCGGATCGCCCAATTAGGTTGTGAAACGCAACCCGGGACCTCATATGGAATTGCAGGGTCACCTACATGCGAGAGCATGATCATCCCCATGTAACCTTCCACTTGACCAACAGAATCACACCACGTGTTTAGGCGCATCCAGCCTTTAGTGGTCCAGCCATTCCTATCTTGCCACACGTCTTGCGGTCTCCCAAGATGTCGGTACGCGAATTCCATCTCTATTTGTGTGAATCTTACATTTAATTGCAATCAGGTATTGTCATATACATCTATCAATGCAAATTCCATTTTCTATTTATCATATAACATAAATGTAGGAACATAATATAATTTCATATGAGACTTTGTTCAAACAATAATCAACAAATCTTGTTTATACAGTAATCACACTAGTAATATTGGACAGTAATTAATATTAAGGAACTAATAATCTGTTTTAATCAATACTATATATAAAACCAAAACATGAAATAACTACCTCATGGTGTAATTTCAAATTTCATATTTTGCCCTTACATTTTTTTAATTTCTACAAAAAAATCATATAATTCTAGGTAACTACCATTAGCACATTAACCACATATCTCACCTTAAATTGAACATTATAATAAATACATTTTTTAACATAAAATACTCTTAATACAAAAATATTATAATTATATAAAATAAAATATATAAAAATTGAATATTTAATATAATAAAATAAGAATGCGGGTCGGCAGACACAAAGTGTCTTTCGACACGCTAGTATAAAGATAATGGTAAAACAAAAAAATCATTTTATATAGCAAACTAATCCACAATTTTTTATGTTTTTTACAACTAATAAAATTCTATTTCTTTCTTGTAATTAAATATCATTATAAATAAATAAATAAATAGTCATTTTTATCATAATAAAAACAACCATTAATAACAATATTAATTGTAAATGTTTTTGACGTAAATTTTGGATATTAATCAAATATAGAGGAGAGTCACAAAAACGCTTCTCATCCTCTAATAATTTTCGAATGGTCATGCTACAACGCTTCTCTTTATTCGATTAATTCCTGAAATTGATAAAATATAAATTTGTTTAATTAAATTAAAAATTAATAATAAATAACAATAAAAATTATTTTTACTAATGAATAAATATTAAAATCAATACCTTTTTACCCAAAAAATAAAAATAACCAATCAAAGGATGGAGGTAAGGTTGCCCCTAAGGATTTCTTTTGTCAACTCATCCTTTGAACGGTCGCGCTACGCTACTTCTTTTCTAATTAAAACACCCAACCAACAATGTATAAAGAACTACGTAGCATTGATTCCCCACTAGGGATACGTAAAAACAAAGTTTCATATTGTCAAGCACAAAAAAATAAATATAATTTTTTCTCCATTTCAATAATTAATTAAAGAACCAAATATTGTTTTAAAGTATAAAATAAATCATACAATTTTATGAGAGGTACCATTTAAAATGGATGTATATGATGTTAATACCTTCCCTATTCTGTAACCGACTCGTGAATCTGGATATCAGAAATTCAAAGCCGAGTATTGTGACACCCTAAATTTAAAGTCATTAAATTATAGTACCAGTCCTGGAATTCTCGCTTGAGCGAGAAAGGTGTCGCTTGGGCGAGAGTGGCTCACCCGAGTGAGTGAAATCCTGGGCTATACTGAAGGATTCTCGCTCAGGCGAGAATTGTCTCGCTTGAGCGAGAGTGGTCTCGCCTGAGTGAGAGTTGCCTCGCCTGGGCGTGAAATGGCACTATGAAGTTGTGGAGGCTGTGAGATTCTCGCTTGTGCGAGAGGATCCTCGCTTGAGCGAGAGGGTCAGATCTGAGTTTTTAAAATGGGCGGGATTTTCTCGCTTGAGCGAGAATGAGCTTGCTTGAGCGAGAACCCGACGCTATTACATTAAATAGGGAATCCCAAACACATTTTTGGATGATAACCTAGAGAGAAGTGAGAGAAGAGAACATTTTCAAGAGAAAGGAGTCTTGAGAATTATCTAGAAGCTTGAGAAGATGTAAAACTCTTGATTCTAACTCTCTTCTTCCCTTTGAAACTTGTTTTGGGTATGTTGGATCTCTTCTCAAAATGTGAGAAACCATGAAAACTCATCCTTTTGAGTTATGGTTCGTTTTATGTTGTTTTTCTCTTGTAAACTCTTGGTTTAGAGTTGGTATTTCAAGAATGGAAAGGGTTTGTGGGTTGATTCATTAAAACCCCAAAACCCTAAAATGAAAATGTGGTTAAAGAGGAAAATGGGTAAAAAGTTAGATGTAGAAGATGAGTATGCACTCTAATGTTGAAATATGAGTGGAATATGTATGTTTTAGATGTTTGTAAACTTATAATGAAAGTAGTTTAGAAACCTTGAAAATGTGTTAAATCTCTTGTATGGTTAAAGATGCAATATGAGTTGTTTATGTGTTATTTGAAATAAATGACTAACATATTGTTATATGGTGGGAATGAGGAAAGATCCTAAAGTTGGAGGCGGTGTTGGTGAAACTTGTGAAGTTACCAAAAACCAAACCCAACACTCACCAAGGTAAGGATAAGTCTTTAACTTGCGCATTGTAATGGAAAATGTGTGGATTTTCTAGTAGTGAAAGTGATCAAGTTGCGAGTCGCTTATTTATTATAAACATATATGGGTATGTTTGTAATAATGGTTGCGTGGATTTAATGTTTATAAATTGATTGTGTATCAATGAAAAGAAAAACACGTTTTTAGCCGACCATGATGCGTTATCAACTTTGGCTCAAGTAATATAGCAAGCTTTGGCTCAAGCGATGCAGCAAGCTTTGACTCAAGCGATGTAGCAAGCTTTGACTTAAGCGATGTAGCAAGCTTTGGCTCTAGCGATGTAGCAAGCTTTGGCTCAAGCGATGTAGCAAGCTTTGGCTCAAGCGATGTAGCAAGCTTTGGCTCAAGCGATGTAGCAAGCTTTGGCTCAAGCGATGTAGCAAGCTTTGGCTCAAGCGATGTAGCAAGCTTTGGCTCAAGCGATGTAGCAAACTTTGGCTCAAGTTATTTAGCATGGTTTTCAAAAGTATAAACGATGGAAATGGTTTTAAGTATATTTAACTTTAAATTGTTTACTTAACCTTATTAAAATGTGTAACACCCTAAATTTTAAGTCTTTAAAATTATAGTATTAGTCCTGGGATCCTCGCTTGAGCGAGAGATTCTCGCCTGGGCGAGAAAGGCTCACCTGGGAGGGTGAAATCCTGGGCTATACTGGAGGATTCTCGCCTGGGCGAGAAATGGCATTTTGGGACTGTTGATACTGTGAGATTCTCGCTTGAGCGAGAATCCCACGCTTGAGCGAGATGATCATATCTAAGTTTTTAAAATGGGCGGGATTTTCTCG